TTGTGTATATATATATATATATTTTTTTTTTTTTTTCTTTTTAAGATATGCACGAGAAGGACATTTATCCTATTATAAATTAGATCACTTAATACCTCCTGAAGTGACTTTAACAAAAAGTGATCTGAATTTCTTATCACGAACTATGGATACTTATATAACACATAAGGGTATGAGAAGGATAATAGGAAGTATGGCGACATTTCTTGGAGTTACAAAAATAATATGCCCAAATTTTTTACCGCTTATCAACCGATATTGTATCGAATTAGAGTTACCAAGTATAAATATGTCACTAACAGTTAATTTTTAACAAACTCGATATATGCGTAAAAGGAAATATAGAAATGTAATACTATTTATAGGGGGCGTATCACTGTATGGAGAAAGATTAGTGGCCTTGTCTCCTCCAAAGATGAAATTTGATAAAAAGTCCTACATCCCTAATTATGAAGGTCGTGTTATGGCTTTCGTTGTCGTAATATTAAAAACATTACTGGCTTTGGATGGCATTACGGAATATGAAATTAGTAATTTCGCTGATAAAATTAATAGGTATGTACCTGCGTGTAAATCATGTTTTCTAGCAATTAATTAATTATTATAGGCCGATTCTATAATTTTTAACGACAGTTTCGTTATTATTATGTTGTCGTTGAGCAAGTGTATATGTAAAAAAATAATATGTAGAAAAGCTGCGCAACGACACACTAATGATATCATCGTTCTAAGGTTACAGAATCGGCTTATTGAGTACTTGCCACAATCATGTTAGATCGTGACATCACAAGTGAAAAATAACACGCTGAAAATTCTTACCATTTTCAAATAAAAACATTTGAATAGAAGAACACTTTAGATCTCTTGAGCATACTTGTAAAATGCTCTAAAACTTGTAAAACTATCCTTTTTCCTTGATAGCCAATAAATAATCGTAAAATTAACGTGACCAAATCATGAAAAAAAGATAAGTTAAAGAAGAAGATTGTATGTGTAACGTTATATAATTTTACGACTATTTATCGACTGTCATGAGAACGTGATAGTTTTCGGAAAATTTTACGTAAGTATGTTCAAGTGATCTGAAGTGTTTTTTCGTTTATATATCTTTTTATATAAAAATAGCATGCAAGAATTTTGTACATATATTTTCTTGTTTCTGATGTCATCAATCAAGAGTTCCGTGGTGAGGGACTAGGAGTCCTAACATAAATAGGATCAGTGTAGTTATATATAGTGATGTCAATATATTGTCTGTTCTTTTTTTAGCTGCACTGGTGCAATAAGTTAAAGTGAGATAAAGGGCCGGTTTTCCAATAGCAGTTTAAACTTGGCTTCAAGTTTAAACTCTATTCTAACAATGCGTTTGTTTTGTTTAAATAGAGTTTAAGTTGAAATCTAAGTAATCTGTTTCGTCCCAAAATGACCTAAATTTTGTCTTTTCTTCATTGTAGTAATTTTGACAGAAAACGTCTATAGATTTTTCCGGCATTCGATACCCTATAGATGTAAAACCCTTTCCGAATCTGAAGTTCATTTTTTGCTTTCACGCGCTATTTTTTCAATATAGCGGCTGAAACGCCAAAAAATTGAAAAAAATAGAATATCGTTTGTATCTCACTTTTCGGCATGATCTGGAATCATAGGATTGTGCTAGTTGTCTGGATCTGGTGACATAATGTCTTTAGCTAAAATATGGTGCTTGCAGATCAAACAATTCATTATAGTGGATTCAATATGGCGGTATTTTTTAGAAAATTTATGTTTTTATCGTTTTTCCAGATTATTTATCACCTACTTGCATTTGCATTTGTAGTATTAAAATATGATTTAAATGAAATTAAATCGCAATGTACTACGACATAACCAAAAAAATTCAAAATGGAGGAGATTTTCAGATTTTTTTGTAAAATTTCTAGTTTTTATACGTTTTTGTAACATCCGATTATTTTTTTCACGCTTTTGTTAATTCTAAGGCTTACACTTCTGAAAAATAATGACAGCAGCAAAATATTATAGTTCTAAGATGTAATATAACCTCTAAACACTATACTGAGTTTGATTTTTACAATAACTTATGGCGATATTATCATATCGTTGTATTTCTTTTTTTGCTGTGTAATACGTATAGAATACAATATATAATAAATCCAAAGGTTTGACATAACCTCAAAATGGGATAGTTGAACACATTTTTGCAACTTATGCTTATATAATCATGCTCAAGTTGCAATATTTATTTGAAAATAATACTGCTGTTGAATGAAAAGTGCAGAATAATAAACATTGCAAAACAAATTATGATTATGTTATTTTACACTATAAGTTAACAAAAATGTAACCATTTATGTTATTTTGAGGTTATATTATTCATTAGAATCATCACATATTGCATTTTTTATTCATTCAACAGTAGTATTATTTTCAAATAAATATTGCAACTCGAGCATGATTATATAACCATAAGTTGCAAAAAAGTGTTCAACTATCCCATTTTGAAGTTATGTTAAACCTTTGGGTCTATTATATATTATATTCTATACTTATTATACAGCAAAAAAAAGAAACTAAATTACGATAATATCACTACAAGTTACTATAAAAATCAAGCTCAATATGGTGTTTAGAGATTATGTTACATCTTAGAACAATAATATTTTGCTGCTGTCACTATTCTTCAGAAGTGTAAGTCTCAGAATCAACAAAAGCGTGAAAAAATAATCGGATATGTTACAAAAACGTATAAAAACTAAAAATTTTACAAAAAAACCTGAAAATCTTCGCCATTTTGGATTTTTTTAGTTATGTCGTAGTACATTGCGATTTAATTTTACTTAAATCATATTTTAATACTATAGATCACGCAAATGCAAGTGGGTGATAAATAATCTGGAAAAACGATAAAAACATAAATTTTCTAAAAACAGCCGCCATATTGAATCCGACAATAAATTGTTTGATCTGCACAGCACCATATTTTAGCTAGACACTATGTCACCAGATCCAGACAACTAGCACGATTCTATGATTCCAGATCATGCCGAAAAGTGAGATACAAACAAACGATATTCTATTTTTTTCAATTTTTTGGCGTTTTAGCCGCTATATTGAAAAAATGGCGCGTGAAAGCAAAAAATGGACTTCAGATTCGGAAAGGGCATGTTTTACATCTATAGGGTATCGAGTGCCGGAAAGATCTATAGACGTTTTCTCTCAAAATTATTGCAATGAAGAAAAGACAAAATTTAAGTTATTTTGGGGCGAAACGAGTTAAACTATCATTGAAAAACCGGCCCAAAATATATTTGTCTTATTCTAACTTATTACAGTAGTGCAGCTGAAAAGAACAGACTTATAAATTGGATAGTGTTTTCACAATATATTTGACACAACCCGTACATCTTCTTGTACATATGTAAAATTCACCAAACTGAATAAAAAAGTCATTTTGCAAACAATTACGATAATTGAGATATTAATTGAAAGAAATAGGTAAATAAGTATGCATAGTACGATATAATAAACTCTATAGAAACTCTATAGGGAGAATCGAAGAAACATGTCATTACAGCTTGTTTCTTAATCTCCTAACTATGAATATAAGTGTGCGATCTAAGATCACGTGTGGAATGGTGAACCTCGCTGTTTGTTCTTTGAAATGTTCCTTGTAAATAAGATTTGATAGAATTAGATAAGAAAAATCTGTAGAATTGATTCGTTTTTTTGGTAAAAATTAATAATAAAATTAATTATAAAATTACATAGAAAAATATATATCCAGATAAATATTTAATTATTAAAAATAAGTTCTTTTTTACGATATAAAATGAAAGAAACTGATAACTTCTTTATATGAGCTGAAATGTGAGAAATTATAAAATTTCTGATAGAAATTATTAGTTTAGATAAAGTCATTTAGTCAATGAAATTTGTACGTATTTCTACTATATCTCTTATTGGATTTTTTAAGTAATATTATCTTGCTTCTCGCTATCAGCCGATATTCATCGTTGTTAAACACTAATTCACCAATTCTTCTTAATTAATATCTCAATAATTGTTGTAGTTGTTTGCAAAACGATAAAAGACTTTAGTTAAATTTGTTAAGTTATACTTTTTTGCATGTTCGTACAGGGTATTGCATCAACACATATTGGTCACCACGATAGGTTGCTTGCTCGTTTTATTTGCAGACGCGCATGTTCGGGCATAAACTCAACTCGGATTGGGCAATATACTCATTTGCTAAACGATTTACACTAATTTTTACCATTAAAATAAATATGAAAAAGTGTTGCAAACTCGTTCACTCGTCATACTGAACTATAATGTTGATGCAACATACTGTACGTAATCTTATTACGTAATATAAGTTTTTAGATTTTTAATCAATTATTGTTTAATTATTTAAAGAAGCAGAGGAATGGTATGTGTTAAAGCAGTCTGTTTCTGTGATAACTTTACATTAATTAGTTTGACTTGTCTGTCAAACTAATGTATACAACTAAAACATAATAAAAAATAACAAAATCTAATCTATATTGTACGTTAGGGCTCTTGACAATTAGCATATGCTAATTATGATACCTGGATAATTTTATAATAACTGAGTATTCTCTGATATTGATATCATTAAAGACATAAGCAAGCACAAAGACAGTTGAATATGTACATATATTAGAACTCGGCATGCGTTCCACTAATTTTCAACTGCTCCGTCTAACGATATTCACCTTACCTCATCGCTCCGCGCGTAACCTACGAGACTCAAGAGTATGACTTGTAAACATATATTAGCTTTCCACTATTAGAAACATATGTTTACAAGTCATGCTTCCAAGGCCCATATTAGTAGTCGTTACTTGAAACTTGTTCTACATAAGATACTCAGATCTGAATTTAAAGTTAGACGAAAAATTTTTTTAATTTGAATTCTATAGGGTGTTCCATTTTAAATTAGACACTGTAATATTTCGAAAACAATGCATTTTCAAAAAAAAGTTGTAGGATATCGAAGGAGAAAAAAATAGTAATATTTTTTGTCCTTAAAAAACTTAATTTCAACTAATTCTTTAAATAGAATCATATGATTTTTTAAGTATAAATCAATTCCTCTAGTCATTCCGCGTACAAAAATATTAGAAAAAAATAATCTAAATGTGAATACTTCCCGATATTTCACATTTTATCCTGTTACTTTTCAATACAAGATATGAAATATCTCATAAACTATTCACTTTTCAACCACTTCGTGTTAATACTTTTATACGTATAATGAAAAGAAAAATCGATCGGTGATACTTATCTTCCCATACAGGTGCATGAATAAATCTACAAAATGCATGAAATATTTTTTAAAGTTTTTGTATGTTTTTTTGCAATAATCGATTTTATCTATTATCAATTACCTATTATTCTGCGTACAAAAGTATTAGGGTGAGGTTATTAAAAAGTATACTTTAGAAGATATTTCATATTTTATGCTAAAAAGTATAGAGACAAAAATTTAGTATATATCTCGAAATGTATCCACTTTTCGATGGTTATATCCAATATTTTTGTACGCAGTATGGCCTCAGAGGAATTTACTTATATTTAAAAGACTATATAATTCTATTAAAAAAAATTAGAGTTGATCTTAACAGAGTTTTTCAATGTACTCAGACAAGGTATTTCAAAATAAAAAAAATATTACTATTTTCTTTTCCCCTTTATACCCTACCCTTTTGTTGAAAACATTTTTTTAATGCATTGTTTTCGAGATATTACAGTGCCTAAGTTAAAATGGGACATCTTGTATAATATATATGATATTTACATTTACAATCACAATATTCAGCTGAAAAACTCATGTCTGACTCTAAATTGAATGTTTCACTTGAGGCAAGTTTCAAGTAACGATTATTAATATGGATCTAAATCTCGAGCGTCTTGTAGGTTGCATGCGAGACGATGAGATAAGGAATAGGAGCAGGTTGAAAATTAGTCGAAATATGCAATGCGTGTCAAGTTCTGGTATACAGGGTGTCCCAGAACAATCTACGAAGCTCCCGTGAGAACATAGAGCGGGTCGAGATGAACATAAAAGTCTTATACCGTTTTGCGATATTCGTAACAATAGCCGAGAAATTAATTGCGAAAGGTTAAGGAAAAGCGTGTGCTGAATGGTAGAGAACTGAACGCTTGAGTCATAGCGCGGCCCAATAATATGTCGACGTGTGGTGATTGAAAGGACAACGCACCACTGCTTGTGCTTATATCGCAGCGCTCTTACATCTCGTCTCGGCGCGATGCGGCAAGACGTAGGAGCGCAACGATATAAGCATAGGCAGTAGTTATTCTTCCAATCGCCACGTGTCGACATCTACGCGCTATATTACTGAGCCGCGCTATGATTCGAGCGCTCCGTCCTCTACCATTCGGCGCACGCTTTTATTTAATCTTCCGCAATTAATTTGTCGGTTATTATTATGAAGATTGTAAAACGGTATAGGACTTTTATGTTCGCTTCGACCGTTCTCAAAAGAACTTCGTAGCTTCGATTGTTCTAAGCATATAGACTATATATAAGCATATAGATTTGTAGAATATATTACGTACGAGACGGCTGATAATAAGATAAAAAATAGAGATATATTAAATTAAATACTTTCTCTGTCAAACAAAGCTCAAGAAGAGACCGATGTAGGAGAAATAAGAGAATAAAACGAGGAAAAAAAGAGAATATTGATCATGTAATCGCTTTTGCTTCTCTTCATCAACCAGACAATTAGACAAGGAAAATTAGACAAGGACTCACTCTCTATTATCCTGTCTTATTAATCTCTTCCCTGTCAGTGACGCATATACGCTTAAAAAAAGTCGTGCCACTTTTGTTTCATGACGCACATATGTGCATCTAAAAAAAAATATGCTCAATTTCATTCGGTTTGATTGTGCATTGGGTTTCTGAAGATTCTTGGGATTCGGAAGATTCAATATGGCGGTTAAAAGTGCGAAAAAAATTTTGGGATTTTACAAAAATGACATTGCTTTTTTATAATGCTGAGTTCAAATCTAACTTCAGATTTGAATCCAGTAACCTTGGAAACATAGACCAAAATATAAACATACTACATTCATAAAATTCCAAGAAAATCTCGAATTTTGATCCGCCATATTGGATCCATCATTATAAATTTTCAAAATCTAACTTCAGATTCAAATTTAGCGCTCCCAAAATCTCTAATTTTGTGTTCGTCATGCCATTCTAAAGATTTTCATTTTTCGAAACATTTTTAGCACGAAAATGTAATTTTCGTCTGACAGCGAAGGAGTTAATGCTGATTTTATTTCTTCTACAGCAATGCGCAGTTTATGATACATATCATATTATATGTTTAAATGGCTGCGTTATATTAATAATAAAATGATTTAGAAATCAGTTCTTAATGTCTATTGTTTCTATATGGTATGTTTTGCTGAATCTGTCAAGGACCTAAAAGTACACTCCAATCATATACAATAATCATTAAACTTTAAGCGTTGAATTCTGCTGAATGCAGCTAATATTGATTTGGATCATATCCATGAATACAGATGATTATATATATACCTGTCAAATATATTAAATGGTTTAAAAACTGCATGTAAGCTATGTGAGAATCACTTGATAAACATTCACCATAAAAATTTCGACACACACACACACACACACACACACACACACACACACACACACACACACACACACACACACACACACACACACACACACACACACACACACACACACACACACACACACACACACACACACACGCACACACACACAAACTCAGTCTAACATTTGTTTTTAAAAAAAAACAATAATTATAATAAAAAAATGTTTTCCAACGAAAGTGTCAAAACAGTAATTTTTTCAAACCACAAAATCATTCCTATAATGATATAAGAAATATAATAAGCAATCACTTGGATATGACACAGTATCAGTGTAAAAGCTTTGATACTCCGAGTATATTTGTACTTGGTAGCACTGCAGATTTTAATGATGTACTAATCATCGAAAAAATGATTAGCTGTAAGAAAGCAGCATTCACTGGATATCAAAGTTTGCTAAATGGTGCAAGTCCCGTAGAAGCCGTAGAGACGGCGTTGTGGTGGTTAGAATGTGATGAATTATTCAATTGTGGCTACGGCTCGCTTTTAAACGAAATAGGTATAAATATGTTTGTGTTCCCGGGATTATGTAACCTCGCCATGCAATCCTGAGGTTCTTATATATGCATATATAATAACTTGTTCTGTGTCCGATACAGAAGAAATACAGATGGATGCAAGCATAATAGATGGCTTCAAGATGGAGTGTGAGTCCATAGCAACGGTATCAAATATAGAGCATCCAATATCTCTTGCTAGATTTGTTCTGGATAACTTTCCTAACTCCATCGTAGTTTGGGAGGGTGCAAAAAATTTAATAAAACATGCAAGATTAAACTAGTCTAAATAACATGATAGCACCTATGGCATATCTGGCTTATAAATTAGAGGGGACGGGCAATTCTAATCCTAATTAGGACACTGAAAATCATCAACATGCTGAAACATTAAAAAGTACATTGTGAAAATGAGATGTCACAAAATCGTATCTTTTTACCCTTATAAGCGTAGTATCAATTTAACACTGATACTTGACAAGAATACAATTTTTATCTTTAGACAGTGGAAGCACCGTTGGCTGTATTGCTTACGACGGACACACTATTGCTGCGGGAAGTACGAACGGTGGTTTAAACAAGAAATTAGTAGGAAATATAAGTGGCTCCTCTATATTAGGCTGCGACGTATATGCTAATCAAAATGTAGGCTGTTCCCTAACGGGTTGCGCAGAATTCACTATGAAACATGATTTATCGAGAATTATAGCGAATGATATCGAGCAAGGATGTGATCCGTGGAAAGTTTTGAAACAAAATCTCGATTATGCGATAACTAGATACGATCATGCAGCTGGTGGTATCGTATTTAAGAAATTTGGCGAGTGGAGCGTGTATTTTACCGCAAATAACATGCCATATGCAGTAATTACAAAGAATTACTTAGCATTTGGTACAACTTTAGATGAAAAGTGTGAGAAAATACGATGGAAGACATTTTTCACACAGTTACGATTTTTCTTTTGTAAATATAGATATTATTATGTTACGATGTATCCATTTTTTTAGCTATACTTCGTTTTGTCATGTTTCTATTATTAAAACAAGGTATCTTCTTTTTTATTCCAGTGTAATAAGTGATGAAGGCGTTTGTATGACGAGACTATTCAGTTTTCGAGAATGGCAGAGGCATATCGAATGCAGACGGACTGTTTTGGCTAATATGCATTTTCCCACCAAGTTAAAATACGATCCAAACATACCAATAGTTAGCAGTTTGTACATAAAATTTTTGGAGGCTATACATTCCAAAACGGACAAGGAGCAACCCGAGTTAACCACGCGTAAACATTTAATACCACGTGAACTTATTCACGCGATGAAACAGTGTATCACTAACGTAAACTACATTGATTTACCATTGAACGAGGTAAATGTGTTCGCTCCTTCACTAACGCCACATCGCGCGTATCTTCAACAACTGTTGGAATATCCGCAATACGACTTTCCAAATATACTTAAGAGCGATTTCTACTCTACAAAAATTGGATATATGACAAAATCAGAATCGTAAGTAATACAGTTCTCCAGTTATAAAGTATGTCATAAAGTATATTATTTCTTTATTTTTTATTTTAGTATCTACGAATTGGCTCAGCGATATGAAATACAGTTAGATTTTATTGACTCAAATTTACATTTTATTGAAAAGACTGTACCTCTTTATGAACAAGCAAAAATGACGAGTGTAAAGGATTTGAAAGATTATATTGAGATACATGATTTTATGAACGAGGAAATCGAGGTTGAGCAGAAAGAGGATTTTACTGATTATTTACATAAGAAAATGCCCTGTCAGCTCAAAATTGATGAAAAGAAAAAACAGTATTATAATGACGCTCAGAGCACAAATATAAATGTGAAAGCTCCTCTATTATTATCTTTCTCTGAATTTATATTCGATGAGACTTTTTCAGATGGTAAACTATCGATCTTAGATACAAACGATAATAAAGATTTTACAGATGGAGATTCTCAAGATGCTTATGTTAACGATACTTTTCTTGAAGAGACGAAATTATCATCGAAATTTTGTAAAGCGTACAATATAAATTTTTCCAGTACCGAAAAAACAGCCATGTCCAAAAATGTATGTTTCAAAAAGAAACAGAAGCGTAAACCTATGAAAGGCGTGGACGGTAAATTTATTAAACAGAACGATATCGCTTTGGAACACGATGTTAAAAATGTAAGCCAAGATCATTCAATCAATTGCATAAAGCAAACCAAGATGATTTCAGCGAATAATTCCGAAATTGAGAATACATTACCAGAGATTCCAGATATTTGTAATTTGAATAACACGTTCATGTATAGTGATTTTACAAAGATTAAGATTGGACACGATGATCAGCCTGAGAATGGTAAAGTATTTGGAGTAACAATGGATGAAACCTTTCATACATTCAATAAAAGAACAGAGAACGCTCTTAGATTGTTTAGACCCTTTAAGGATTATTGGATGTACCATTGCAACTTTAGTCGTGTAAAGCCAAAGAATTTTGAATTATTCGAGAGAACTTTACCCAGGAGTTTCCGATGGTTATTGAATGAATGCGCGAGCATCGTTGAAATGTCACCGGAAGATCTCTATGAAGAAATATGCCTCGTTGAAGCTTATTACACAAACGTCTCCGAAAAATTGGAGATTTGTACGAATGCGAATGATGATAACCACAATAAGACGCATTTTAATGCAATTATGAAAAGATGGTAAAACCAAATAATAAAAAATATCATTTGAAATCTGTGATACGATTAGTTAATATAACATTTTTCTATAAAACACTCATCTCTTTATCAAATTTCCACAATTTTTATTGAAATATAGTGCTTGTTTACACATAAATCGTTTGATACTTGTACTCGTTTGATATTTATAGATAATATAATTTTACATCAAGTTACATATTACAGAATATGTGCACATATTTATGCATTATAACCAATTTGAGATAAAGCTTGTGTGCATAAATTTAATTAAGATTGAATTTTATTGACATTAAAGCTAAATCCATATACACATTTTTTATATAATGTAGCAAATCTTTTATTAAATTTATTGGATTTCAGTGTTTTCAAAATTTCCAAATTCAATTAAAAAATAAAAATATCAAATTTTAATAGTAAGATTAATATTACGAATTTAATCAAATTATGTAATATGTAATTGCAATTTAAATTGCAACTATACAGTTGCAACATTGTTTTTGTGAAATTACATCAATTTAAAGTAAAGAAAGCATTTATAAAGAGAATCTGTATTTTTTTATTTTCAAAATTATACACTCCTACATGTGTGTAAATATTTTGTATGAAATTTGAAAATAAAAGTAAAAAAAATTTTTTTGAAGATTTAATGCCATTTTAAATTTTCTTTCACTTTGATTTCTTGAGCTTAAAAGACATTTAAGAAATATTTGTTTTTTTTAAATTTTATCCAGTTCTAGGGAAGAACATTTTAAAGAATTAGGTAAATCAAGAAACTCTCTCTCTCTCTCTCTCTCTCTCTCTCTCTCTCTCTCTCTGTAATATAATTAAAATATAAAACTGAAAACCTATAATAGTTAATACTAAGTAAAGTTGTGACAAATAAATGAAAATTAATGCTTAAGCAACTCCTTTAAATCTATGTTTTGATTACTTTTCTCCAATGTCAATAACAGAAAAAACAATGTTGAATCTTGTAGGCCCTTTAAGTTTTTAAAAGACTAGTATCGGTCTGTTAGCTTCGACGATACATGCAAACGGCGCGTCAAATTGCTACGTTACACGTCGGAAAAACTTATCATACTAATTCGATACACCATTATGTTTACACGAATCACTGAACGAGGATAATTTAATATAAATACTACTAGATATCACTCGTACTAAATAATGAAAATATAAATAAAATCACTCGGAGTACCATCTCTCTCTCTAGACATATTTACATATGCGACGCGGTTAATCTCTCACGTTATCGATCGCGTCTTCGATTCTCTTGACGCGCGTCGGTACATACAGCTGACGCATCTCACAGTCAGCCTCCACCGAGTTCGAGCGCAACTACACGCAACTGTTGCATTCGGTTGACAGTTCGTGCCGTGCTGTGCCGCGTCGCGTCGCGTCGCGTTTGGCGTTAACTCGTGGGAGCGACGCAACGTGGCGCAGCAATATAACTCGGCGCAGCGGCGCGGCGCGGCGGTGCGAGTGCGCTCAGTAGTAAACACCAATTCGCGTAGGACGATGGTGCCGGATGACTCTTGTCGTCGTGGTGACATCACGGTACCACTACTCGGCCGCCCGGTGGGCCGCCTGTGCGAGAGAGCGGCGTAGTCGCGCGTGTGTCGATTCGTGTGTTCGCTAGCGGCAGCAGCACGCATCGTCTTCTGAAAGCAACACCTGTGCCGTACGGTCGCAGCGGTGCGTGCGGCCGGGGAAGAGGGGGAGATATATATATATATATATATATATATATATATATATATAGAGAGAGAGAGAGAGAGAGAGAGAGAGAAAGAGAGAGAGAGTACGCGAGTTACCCTCGTACCGCGAACTCGACGTATTTCCAGTCGCGCGACGTCGACGGCAGTGGTCGTTGCTTTTATTACGTGCGGTGTCCCCCGACGAAGGAGCTACTACTCGACTCCCGCGACGTCGCGGCGCTTCGCCGGTGGGACTTGTTATCCTCACGGTGAGTCCAGATCCTGTCGTTACTCTCGTCGTTTACGAAATTATCAGGTTATTGCACAGCGATGATGATGGTGATGACGATGATGATGATGATGATGATGATGATGATGATGATGATGATGATGATGACGATGACGATGACGATGACGATGACGACGACGACGACGACGACGACGACGACGACGACGACGATAACAACGACAACGACAACGACGACGACGACGACGACGACGACGACTATGGTAGTACTGATGGTGATATGGTGGTGTCGACGGCAGCGACGGTGGCCACGTTTAACCCAGATACGAGGGAGGTCGCGGCAGATGCATCCTTCCTGTTGCTAACTTCTTCGCGTTGGCATGAAGCGTGGCGTCTTTCCCGCCAGTCGTTTTGTACGAACAGATAACGCGTACTTACGTGACCTTTGGCTCCTCGCGACACACGAAATTATCGATATCGTGTCTCCTTACGCGCAACGTTTCGGGATTCCCGACGTTCGGCGCTTCGCGTGAAATTCTTGAAATTTCCAAGTCGACGAACGCGTGGATAGCTTCGCGAGTGCTTCGGAGCACCGTAGGTTGCGATAATTCACGCCGGATAATCGTAGACCGATGTCGTGTAAAAAATTTCTAATTAGTGGGATGACCTGACGAAACCATAAACCATCGACACACCATCGATGCTCCGGCTTTGACACAAGTGTGTGTTGCAGTGCGAAACACAGCGCGAAATTTTACTCGACCGTGGTTCCAGGCCCTTGCTTCTCCATATGCACAGTAGTGTGTCTTCTTTCTTGCACCTGCTGCGGAGGTCTGCGTGAGCACCAATCGCATGTCGCCGTAAGACGGACGTTAGGGCGATCTAGATTTCGCGGGCAACCGGTCGACGAGAGTGCGTACGTAGTACATTCGTACGTAGTCGTATGTACTCGTCAACGTGTCGGCGAAGTAACAACGAGGAATTGACCGTAGTTATTCAAGGACGATCCAACCAACACATGATGGAATACGTTTCGGAAACAATGAAGATGAAAATTTGATGTGTGATTAAAAAAGCACTGATAGCACTGAGATTTTTCATAATCGTTCAAAAAGTTAAGCATGGTCAATTTTCATCTCTTTAAGGGCATTCTTTGACAAGCCTAATCCTTTAAAAAATGAGTAAAAAATGCGACTTGTAGGCTTGAATCTTTTTTTGATTTATGTAGAAAGACATGGACTCTACAAAAATTAAAATTAATCATAATTTTTTTATCATTCTTGCATAACTCTATGACTAATTGAATTTGTTCTCTCGTCAGATTTATTAATTTCACGCAGATATTAAATGAATTCAGCAAATGATCTTACCTATATTACGATGTAGATCCCAACTAAAAATAACATCAATCTTATAATTTCTTGCTCAACATTGTAAATTCAATGTAATATGTATGCAATATTTACATCATTGAGTGGAAAATTATATAACATTGATGTAACATTACTTGTTAGTGTTTATTGAGAGTGTATACATAAACAAATATTTTATTGCTAAGAAAAGCGATGATTTCATTTACCTTCTTTCTTTTGGATTATCTTTATCTTCTTTTTATTCTTTAAAGAATATTTTCCCTTAATAATAATCTTAAAATATATACATTAAAAGTTTTAGAAAAACCCATTTTATCATGTACTGAAAAGAAAAATTTATTTTCTTTGCAAGAATATCATCAACATAAATTTTATCAAGTAAAAGATTGATTCAACTCTGTGTAGTAAGCTAACCGAATTTTTTTTTTCAATTTAATATTGTCGATTGAAATGCCAAATACTTACTAAGGCTTAGAATATGTTTAAAGTAAATTTGATGCTTATGGCTCCTGGGGAGTCGCATCATCCATCTCTTTTTAATGACGTCAGAAGCGAGAAAACGCATGCTAAAAATTCCTACAAAATACGTCGAGATAAACAGATATATCCACAAAACGACATTTGCGATCGATTAAGTACATCTCTAAAATACTCCGTACACTTTCCTTTTGTTCTAA